GTCTTTGACGAGTGTAAACTTGTGGAGGACAAGTAAAATGTTTACCTCGCTTGTCCGCATGGACGAGTAAAAATTTCCAGTAGATTTTTCCCTAAAATTAATGAAATCTAGCAAGGTCTAGTTCCTTTCAGTTCTATGACCATGTGTCCAAATAACAGTTGCACTGTCCACAATCACCAACTCAGACAATACAGCCACTTGGCTCGATTCCTGCAGGATGACCCTACTCACCAGATTGTCTCTGTCTGAGACAACCCTGGGTGGAAGAGGCCTGTGGGACTGCCAAGAAAGTCATGGCTGGGGCAGATCGATCAAGCCTGTCATGAGGAGCTAGAGATGGGCCGGGCCCCTGCCTGGCGGCTCGCCGTGAGAGACCCTCGTAGGTGGAAGCGAAGGGTGGATGTGGCTATGCACCCCTGCCGGTGTAAGCTCCCAAATGATGAATGATGAGTGAAGACACACTTGTATTCCCAATATTTTCTGTGAATAAGATGATGTCATAAAGTCACTTCATAGCGCATCACTTCATCTTCAATAGCAACCTTAATAAGGAATTATTTTCTTATTTTCTTTTTCTTATCTATTGGCTATGAAAAATCTAATGATATCTTCAGAGCCCTATGCAATGAGTAGCAAAAAAGAGCCCATATGTCATGAAATGTTGCTATGTAATTTCATTGCTTCTTCATGATGTCATCAAAACCCCTAATTTTCAGACACTTCATCATCTATTACTTGTAACTCCTTCACTTAACCCCTTAACGACGGGTGACGCCGATAGGCGTGAAAACAAACCGCTCAGGAGCTGGCATGCGGCTGTACGCCGCCGCGGCGAGCCAATGATTCGGGCTGATGTACAGAACTCACGCGCTCAAAGCCGGCGCGCTGCCATTGTTTCCCAGAGCGTAGATTTTTTTTTTGTTTTCATCACCCGTCACCATTCGGTTAATTGAAAATATCTCTTTCTTTGTCCCTCACTAATGTATGAAGCAATTACCCTGATAGTCACAAGGAAATCATAATGATTTCTTATTTTCTATAAATCCAATAAGGGTAAAATCAAATAAACTTTCTAGTAGTCTTAGGCTTTCATTCATTCCTTTGTTACCCACTGTTATTTTAAAAACACAGGGCACCAAAACACAAACACAAACACACACACACACACAAAAAAGGGGGGCAACACCTACATTGCCAACAGTCACAAGACACTAAGCTCACAACGTCAGTGGCTCAATAAATCCTTACTACCATATGTACAAAAACATCTCTTACATTAGAAACAAGGCAACTCATTTGATGACAAGAAAAAAAAATTAAAAAGGTAAAATCACCTTTATTCTGCAAGCAGAGTAGATCCAAAATTATGATGCCTTTTTTTGGTGCAATGCTGACAGGTATGACATGTACATACGTGCTATGCCCACTGTGAGTATTTGTTTGATTGTTTTTACACATAGATGGCTACACTTGTACTAAGTCACCAATGAGCCAATTATGAGTGTTACCTGTCTCACCCGTTTACCCTTTTCTTTGATTTATGAAATATTTTATGTTATCTTATTTTGCCGTTACTAATGTTAAAAAACATTATAATAATTATAATGTTTAAACCATCGATATTCATAGCACTAGTAAAAAATATGTTTTTCCCGCCATTTCAAATCAAGTACAGTCATAAGGTCTACTAACTGACTCCTTTGTGGCTAAGCACTAGTAGAGCCATCTATGGGCAGACTTTTTTTTTTTTTTTTTTTAACCAAAAGTGTTGCCATGCCCAATCTGAGCTTAATCTATTAAATCTATTAACTGTCAAGGAAAGGTGAAATCAGGTGAGGTCACAAGGTATACTAATTAACTCCTTTGTAGTTTGCAGAGCCATCTATGTGCAGCGACATTTGACAAAACAATAAAATAGTGAACACAACATTTTACCAGAAATTTAATTTTTTTTACTGGTAACAGAGCATATAATGACATTTACCTAAACATATTAGACTTACATTTATTTTTTAGTATATCCTTACCCTCTAACAAAAAGTTTAGAACCCTCTAGTTGTGGCCTGTGTGCACATTTGGAGGAAGAGTAGCAAATTGCAATATACTCAACCCAATGTCTAATGTCAAATGTGAAGCTCATTTCTTGCTACATTATCCTGCACACCATTTTTATACCATAGATGAAATGCCAGAAACCAAAAGCAGTATAAAAGTTTAGGCAGGTTTTATGAATTTTCTGCAAAATGATACTGTAAAAGTATGTGTATACTTAAGTAAAGATAGGAGGGGGGAGAGGGTAAGAATATACTTGTAATATATATATATATATATATATATATATATATATATATATATATATATATATATATATATATATATATATATGTATATATATATATTTTTTTTTTTTTTCTTTTGTGAGGGGGGGGGGGGATCCTGAAACTTGGTGGTATTACAGTTAATGACAAAACTATTCCAAGAGATTTTTTTTTCAAACCCTTCCTTAACCCAATAATGACAGCTGGCATTTAATCTTGCCATAATGAGCCAAGGCTCAGTTCACAGGGGAATATGCAACATAAACAGTTGTTCATTCATTTGGTTTCTGGGCATGGCAGTTCAGGAGCTACAGCTCCTAAAATGTTTTTGTCTCTTATGATGGAAAATATTTTATGCTGCAGCCAAATGCTCCCCTTAACCTTACTTCTGATGGGTAATGTCTCCTCAATGACCACAAATGAACAACTATCAACTTAGAGCAGGCTAGGCTGAATGTGGCATGGGCACTTGCTAGTTTGCCACTTTTCAAAAGCAATACCTGAAGGTGTGCATCCCTGTGTCCTGATTCTCCATAGGCTGAGTTACTTTTCAGATATTTTCTAATATTTTTGATGGTCTCAACTTCACTCTCTTCCTCTGCCTCACTTAAATCCGTTGGTTCAAAGTACACAAGTTTGGTCAGTGTGCCACCAATATCCATCCCAAACCATGGCATTGCTGAAAACAAACAAATAAACAATTGTGCATTTGTAATATATAAGTCTATCAATCACTCGTCACTGCACTATTTCATGTTAGCTTTTCACCACTTATTGTAAAAAGTTAATTAAGTCTTCCTTCACTCTCATTATCTCCCAAGGTATATGAACTAACTTGAACCAACTAACGTGGAGGGGAGTCATGGGGTGCCTGATGTCCATTGCTAGTTCCGACTTCATTGAAGCTCTTGCTCTTGGGTATAACACCTTCTGAGTGACCATTCATTGACTGCTGACTACTGCTTGATGAATATTCTGCTTCACTCTCATCACTGTGAGATCTCTCCTCCACTGGCATTATCTGGAAGGAAAACTTTGTATTAAAATGCTACCTCTGTTACCATTAAGTAAACTCCAAAGTCATCACTGATGCATCTGCTTATGACATCCTAGTATGCCACTGAATGTCTGTAATACAGGAAAATTAAATTTACTGTAAAAAGTTTGTTAAATAAATTCAATATTTGATAACCCCAACAATGTAAGAATATCAAATGGATTTGCAAATGAAATGGAGTTAAGTAAGTTATTATGCTGCTCAAAGTTCACTTGATCAGAAGAATAACTTGAGGTTCAAAATGCAAATATCAGTAAGCTGAAACTCTAACAAGCCTACTTAGTAAGTGATCTTCAGTGTATACCAAGTGCCTCACAGCTATAGTGTGGTTTAACCCAAAATCGATGGGCATGAGCTTATCTTATTAATTGTTTTTACACACAGATGGCTCCATTTATAATGTCACCACTGAGACACTTATGAGTACCACTTATTTTACATGTTTACCTTTTTCCTTGATTTTCAAAATATTTAATGTTTTCTTATATTGCTGTTACTAATTTCAATAACACCATAGTAATTATAATGTCTGTAATAAAAATAATACTGTCAATATTCATTACACTAGTAAAAAGGTTTTCCCGCCAACTCAAGGAAGGGTGAAATCAGCTAAGGTCATAAGGTCTACTAATTAACCCTCTTGTGGCTAAGCACTTGCAGAGTCATCTATGTGCAGACATTTCACAAAAAATTCTAAAATGGACATAGCCTTTTCATGGCTACATTGGGTTGAATATTTTCTTCACTGATTTTCTTTAACTGTAACACTCATTTTTCACTTTCAGTTCCTACTTGACAGCATTTCCCTTTGTCACAATTTCAAGTCCGAGCTTCCTAGCAAATCAGACTAACTAGGGAGGTCTGTGGCAGAGAGGGTAACATTAATAGTCTAATGGATCATTCAGGCTGGTAGAAATAATGCTAAATTTAAGTATAGGTGATATAGGTGGGCAACCTTAGAACCTATATGCCTGACCCACATTGGTGCTTCACTTACCAAAAATATGGTCACCACCAGGCCAAGCCCAAATGTGGTGTCTTTAGTAAGGCACACAACACTGAGGTGTGCCTTAAACTGACCCCGACTGGTCACGTGTACTGGCATCATAACAAACTGCTTGGTTTGCAGGGTACGCCTATACACATGGAGCGTGACGTTCAGCTTGATGTTGCAGACTCCTGTGTCTAGTGTCTGGCCGTTGCTAAAAATCACCAGACTTTATCACCCTCAGGGATTTCTGTTCATCTGGTGGTGGTGCATTAAGGCACGTAAGCAAGGCCAAAGGGGCACAACAGCCAAATGTCCCAACTGTGCCAAGAGGCCTGGAGTCTGGCTTGTTCTGTCAGGAAGGAGGCAAAACGACTAGATTTTGTTCATGCTCCCCAAGGTACCCATGTCTCAGGACAGAATAAAAGGGAAAAGGCTCCCCAACTTCCTAAGAGTTAGGACACTCCTCCCCAGCCAACATTGGACATCCTTGCAAGTGTACACACAAAGAGCCAGAGGAATAAAGTTCCTCCCCAAGAGCCGACCAACTCCTCTTCAACAAGGAAGATATTATTCTCCTATTGACTGCTGTAGTCACTGCATTCACATAGTCACATACATGGAAAGCCCAGGCAAGCTATCCTTTATAAATCTTACTGAAATTAATTGACCTGCACTAAGAGCAGCAACTCATGATCCTCCAGCCATACCTCAGCAAGCAGCAGCAACACAGGACTACCTAGTTGTTCGCAGACTGGGGAACCTCTCCGGCACCCCTATAGATTTCCACTCTACCTACAGCATCCAGCCATGACAATGAAAACTTACACCAATACAAGCACTCCCTCAAGAGATAAACCAGCAGACTAGGGTATATGCATACCCATCCAATACTCTGGTGACCCACAGTGTGATATGTCATGGTATTTCACTCACTTGCTTAGCTAACTCACTGGAGGGGGAGTACCTATAGCAGCACAACACACAACCTGCAGCTCTGTATACTTTAAGGTTGGTTCACATCAGGCCAAACAGCCTCATCTTCACTCTCTCACCAGTAGGTGCTTCTTGCAAATCACTTCCAAGATGTGACAACCCATGGCTCTCTGACTAACCTGCAGGCTCCCCTTATTCTCTGTTCCCTTATACAGCTTCAGTATCCAAAATTGAGATCATCAATATACAATCCTCCAGCCACATTTCAGCAAGCATCAGCTACACAGGACTGCCCAGTCCTTTGCTGAATGGGAGCCTCTCCAGCTCCCTAGGGTATATGTATATATGTGTACAGGTATGTATATTCATATGTATATATGTGTGAGTGTGTGTGTGTGTGTGTGTATTTATGCATTTATGTATATATTTATGTATGTATATCTGTATGTATGTATATACATATATATGCGAGTATCTGGCAATGAATAAGAGAGGTGTCGTGGTTAGGTCAGTGATAACAAGTGCTAAGAATTACAAGTGAGAAGTGATCTGTGATAGTGCTACATTAGAGAGAAAGATTTGTGATTATATAGATCTTTTATTCCAACCAATATAATATAATAATTCATTTAAATGTCTCACAAGTCTATAAAATTCAATATTGGATCATGCATACATAGACCTTTTAAACTAAAATGTGCCAGCTAGGAATACTCTAACCCCAAGCCCCATCCTTACCCATTCCAACATCATCCTAAATCCTCCTCTCACCCCCCTCCTTCCCTCAACCCCTCTGCTGCAAACCAAATTACTGGAGAGGAAACTAATACGAGCCCAGAGAGGGATGGAAATGTTGGTGCTGGGAATTAAGAATTAGAAGAGATTGGACAAAGGGCGACCTGGATCAGAGAAGAGACAAAAGTAGGATATACATGGGAGCATAAAAAAGAAAAACTGGCAATGGGAAGGTTATATATGTCAGAGACAGAACTGCAGATGGATAAAGAAAGTAACAAACTGGGTTATAGATAACATAAAGAGGTCAAGGGACACACCAGTGACAAGATGGTATGATGAAATAACAAAATTTGGGGGCCAAGACTGGAAACAAAAAAACACAAGACCCACAAAGTTGGAAAAAATTGGGAGAGACCTACATTCTGCAATGAACTGATACAGGCTGATGATGATGATATATGTATGTATGTATGTATATACATAAATATAAACATATAATGTGTGTTTGTGTGTATGTATATACTTATATAAATATATTTCACAATTCACAAACTAGATATATTAAAAAGGAGATGACAGTTTCAAAATCATCCTGGATTCCATCTTCAGGTTTAAAGAGAAAGGGGAAAGGAAAGAGTATAAAAGAGAGATAGGATAGGCAACACAGTGAATGTGGCCGGTGAACACTCTCTGTCGCAACCTGGTCCACACTAGCCCTCCCTCTGCCTTGAAGGTGAGCACCTATGCTGTTCCCTGTGTCTCCTGTGATAAGCAGTACTTTTGTGAGACAGGTGCCAGTCTCACTAAGCATCTCATTGTAAATATGCTGCATCTGGGGGGGACGTTAATAACACCTTCTGCTGCCATCAGTGGGACACAGGCCATCCGATAGAATGGTCAGCCACATGTATCATCTCCCATTCTGCTGATGCCCATGCCTGAAGACTGGTGGAATCATCCTTAACCCATTGCCGCCGGGGATGGCATGTATGTACATGCCATGCCCACTGTGAGTCGACTTGTTTGATTGTTTTTACACATAGATGGCTACACTTGTACTAAGTCACCAGTGAGCCAATTACGAGTACTGCCTGTCTCGCCCGTTCACCGTTTTCATTGATTTACGAAAATATTTAACGTTATCCTAAGTTGCTGTTAAAAATAACACCATCTATATTTATAGCACTAGTAAGAATACATTTTTTCCCACCAATTCAAGGAAAGGTGAAGTCAGGACTAGCAGAGCCATATATATATATATATATACACAGTAAGTCCCCAACTTAAGAACATAATGGGGACCGAGAGGCTGTTTGTAAGTTGATTTGTTTGTATGTCGAAAGTCGGGTCTCCATTACCTTTTTTCCCATTGTTTTAAAGTTTTGTTTACACTAAGAATACCTGTAAATAAATCCCAATAAGTACGACATACCTTATACAGTACCAGACTCTTGAACTATACTCGTGCCCGGGAAATTTGAAGTTTGCTAGCATCTTTCAAACAATTTTATTGAATGTTCTTAAGTAGGGAACTATCTGTTTATGTATAAATATATATATATGTATATATATACAGTAAGTCCCCAACTTAAGAACATAATGGGGACCGAGAGGCTGTTTGTAAGTTGATTTGTTTGTAGGTCAAAAATATAGTTCAAGAGTCTGGTACTGTATAAGATATGTTGTACTCTTTGGGATTTATTTACAGGTATTCTTAATGTAAACAAAACTTTAAAACAATGGGAAAAAAGGTAATGGAGACCCGACTTTCAACATACAAACAAATCAATTTACAAACAGCATCTTGGTCCCCATTATGTTCTTAGGTTGGGGACTTACTGTATACATATATATATATATATATATATATATATATATATATATATATATATATATATATATATATATACATATATATATATATACATATACATATATATATACATATACATATATATATATATATATATATATATATATATATACATATATATATATATACATATACATATATATATACATATACATATATATATATATATATATATATATATATATATATATATATATATATACATATATATATATACATATATATATATATATACATATATATATATATATATATACATATATATATATACATATATATATATATATATATATATATATATATATATACATATATATATATACATATATATATATATATACATATATATATATATATATATACATATATATATATATATACATATATATATATATATATATACATATATATATATATATACATATATAT